TATATATATATATATATATATATATATATATATATATATATATATAGGCGAAGGATCGTGTGAGAAGAATAATTATGGTGAGAAACGTAATAAGTTTCAATCTCATCACATATATCATATAGGTGCGATAACAATAATCCATGGTCAAAAGATCATCATTCTCAGAAATTTGATCATGTCACCCTTATCCTAGTATACTCCGCTTCTGATTGTGTCACCCTTATTACAAAATTTATCCAACTCCTGATTATGCCACTCTTACTATAAAATATACTCAACTCCTATTTATGTCACCCTTATTATAGTCGGTTGATAATAATATATCAAAACCCAAAATCTTGCTAGATAATAGCACATAATCGTTTAAAAAACACTAAAAATACGAAACCATACGATTTCTTATCAAAAGCAAATTAAATGATGTTTTTAAAGTAAAAATTCAATTTGTATTACAAGAAGATAGAAGACTTTAAACAACAACAAATTATCAAATAAAATCACGTAATCAGTTCTTTTTTTTTTTTTTTCTGTTTCTTCGAACTAGGAAACCAAAACACACACACATCAACTTTGTCTATCTTTTGCAATAATAAAAAGAGAGAAAACTTAAAAAACACATACAAAATATATATATATATATATATATATATATATATATATTTTTTTTCTTGTTTCTTCGAACTAGGAAACCAAAACACACACACATCAACTTTGTCTATCTTTTGCAATAATAAAAAGAGAGAAAACTTAAAAAACACATACACAAATATATATATATATATATATATATATATAGGGGCCTATTCAAGGGAGAACTGAGTTGTTTATGGTAACTGTGAGAACCAATCTTAACCACAAATCAACGGATAAATAAGGAAATTAGTAATTATGGTAATTTGAGTTAAAATTATAATTAAAGGGCATTTTAGGTATTTTTAAAAAACTCCTCTCTCCGACCTCCGATCTCCGATCTCCGGCCTCCGATCTCCGATCTCCGGCCTCCGGTGAATATTAATCCGGCAGGTACCAATGTATTACTAATTGGGGTACCACCATGTACCACAGAATTTTCACTCGTCTCCTCCTTTCCCAATCCATCTTCTCCGGCCACTCTGTGATACCCATTACCCAATGTATTACCAATTGGGGTACCACCATGTACCACAGAATTTTCACTCGTCTCCTCCTTTCCCAATCCATCTTCTCCGGCCGATACCCATTACCCAATGTATTACCAATTGGGATACCACCATGTACCACAAAATTTTCACTCGTCTCCTTCTTTCCCAATCCATCTTCTCCTGGCACCCTGTGATACCCATTACCCAATGTATTACCAATTTGGGTACCACCATGTACCACATAATTTTTACCCGTCTCCTCCTTTCTCAATCTATTTTCTCCGGCTACCCCTTCATTGTTGCAGCCACCATCTCCTTATCTCTCTTCTCCCTTTCACCTTCCGCAACACACGCACGCACACCTGCACCACCGTACGAACTAACACAAACACGAAGACGAGGAAATAGGCAAAGCACACCCGAACCTTCCCCTTCGTACCGCCTCTGTCGTGTCTCGTCTCCGTCGTCTGCCTCGTGAACCACTCCAGCAAGTCCCAGTCAATGCTTTGAAGCCATCAAAGAAACAATCAAAGCAAAACCAGAAAGGGTTGTTGATTTCATAGGGCCAAATCAAAGAAGAGAGATAAGGTT